ATAATCCTTAGCACTGTGAGTTTGATGCTGGTGTTTGTGGGACCAGCTTGGTGTTTGCTGTGGTATGGCTCTCCTGTTGTTGGGGGGAGCAGCTTCTGAAAGATGCTCAGTAAGTTACTGGCTTCTTTTATATGAAACTTATTTCCATTATTGGTGTTTTGAAGTATGTGAAACTAGAGCTAGATTCTTCTGCTTACATTATGCAACCTTTGCTCCTTGAGTAATCTCCTTGATTTCCCTTGTGCTGTGTGTGGCAGCTTTTCACATGAGTAAGTTCAGAGCCTACTTGCTTGTCCCAGTTTAAATTAATTTGTATGCTGAGCCATGCAGGTAAGGGCAAAGAGTATATTCATCTTCTCAGCTGCTTGGTGACCAGGACGCTTGAGGAAGAATTCAAACAGAAAGAGCTGGTGCTACTGAGATGGGAAAACTGTTATCATGCAGTCACCTCCACAGCGTGTTCGTCTTGGATCATGGCAGTTACCAGCCCTGGGAGGTGCTGTTTTATTGAGTCATTAAAATCTGTGCCTTTTCCTCTGTTACATCTTCACCAAGATACTAATTTCTCAGGGCTATATTTTTTATGACCAAGAAAAAAGCTGCTCCTCTGGGAATTAGACTGATGTTCTCAGCTCTGTCAGAGAACATGCACAGCAGTCTCTGGGTAGCAGGGTGGGACTTGGAGCTGAGATCTGGAGAGGGAGAACGCTGATATGCTGCACATGGTGCAATTTCTAAATAAGCATGGTGGATCTGATGTCTGCCATGGGAGACAAGTCATTGGGCTGAAGGATTTTTGGCCTGAACCAAAATAATTGCTCTCACACTTAAAACGAAACACTAGAAAATTATGAAAAAGTAGAATTCTGTTCAGCATTGTCTGTAGAATGTTTTCTCTTAACTAGTGGCTGTCCTGACTTGCTGTATTGTCATATCAATTGTATTTCTTTCACAGATTTTCGGCTGGTTGGTGGCCTAATGATGTTTTTAAAAATGAGTTTTATGGTAGAGTTAACAGCTGTGCTTTTTAGGCATGATTTTTTTTTTTCTTTCAGAAAAAATATGACAGGCACTTGTAAACTGTACATTTGGTAAAGTGAAAAATATCCATGAAACAATGAGCCAGCAGAGGAATACTGCATTCTGATCACCAAAAAGGTCTGCACATATTTTTTCCATGTGGAGTACATGTAATGCAGGAAACAGTTCATGATATGGCAGAATGCTCGTTCTCCTTCTGCTCAGTACTTGGAGTGTATGAGAAGAGAACAAAAAGGAATCTCTAAACAAAAAAGAGAATTATAGGTTTCTACTAGTAATTTTTATTTTAGTTTCCTAGTGCTCATCACTTAACATGATGAGGAAATTGAGTAAAATTACCAGAAATTATTTTCAAGCAGTGCTTTTTAGTCTCGGCATATTTATGAATATTTCATGCATGATTTTTTTTACTATTTAAGATCTATATTTAAAATTTCATACTCAGCTTTAAAGTTTGCTCTGACTTGAAATATAGTAGTCTTTAGAAAATAGGTTTAACTTTCTTAAAAGAAGAAAAAACCGAAAATTATAAAAACCTGAAAAAAGAAACTTGTCTTAATTACAGAGAGAGGATTTTGCATTTCTTTTGAAGCTGATTAAGTTGTTTTTTAAATGAAAACCAGCATGTGTTTTGGGCTCATTCCAGTGACTTAGTGGACAGAAGTAAAATTAAGGAACCTGTTTGAGTTCCTCAGGTGCTTCAGTAAAACGTGAACCTTAGAAAATCAGACCTCTAAAGATAAAATAAGGTTTTAAAGACTAGATTACTGGCTTTCCTGGCCTGGCTGAGACATACACAGCCCATTACGTCTCACTGGTGGAAAATCCAGCGTTGGAGATGAGCTTATCTTAAACATAAGGGAATTAGTCCAGCTTCCATTTAAATCACTGGCAAAGCTCTGGCTATATTCAACAAGGGAATGGCTGAGGTATCAGGAACACAAAACCCTGTTTCTAGGCCTGATCCTAGTTTTTCTTATATGCCCAAAGCTCATGCTGAGTATTGTGGTCACTTTAGCAGGATTAAGACCGAGCAGATTGTTTGAGCAGATTTATATTGCTATACATTGTAAGAAGTACTGATACAGTTCTCAGTGATGTACAATTAATAAATACGCATGTTATAATACAAGACACCTGTTGACAAAGTGAGATTGTTCCAATCAAATTGCTCAAGTGTGATAGAATGTCACGTACAATAATTAGCTGAATAGCTCTTCTGTTATCTGCAGCCCTCTTCCAGCAGAGCACTTGGGCATGTGTTTGCCATGAAGCACCTGACTACCTCCATAAAGTCAGTCTGACTGCCCTGCTGTATGTGGAGCATGTGTTTTGGAGAAATAAGGCCTAAATTAATTGGAGTCCACTCTATTATGCCTGTGGTGTGTGTTCTCAGTCCTTTGGGAAGTCAGTCACGTCCAAATGTGACACTTTGGTTTCATCATCACTTCATAGGGAGAAACACCTGCAGTGCCTGTCACTTTACACTGGGTGGGTTTCAGTAGCAATCTTGCACACTCATGGGTGCCAGAAGGTTATATTTGTCACCAAAGCAGTGCCAGGAGAGAGGTGTGATGGTTCAGTGTCAGCCCAGAGATGCAGGGAGGCCAGTGGTTACCTGTGGGTTGTGAGTGTGCATGTGAACACCTGGGGCTGCTGATGGTGGTAATGACTATCTCCTTGCTATGGATGTAATCAGTGACAAAAACATACACCTGAACAGTGTGTGGAAGGTCAACATTTTTTTGCAGAAGGGAAAAAAATTAAACTCCAGCCCAAAAAAATGTAACGTGTCACCTTTATTTAATGCTTCTATAGTTATCACAAAACAACAAGAAATATAAATATTATGTATTGAAGTAACCAGTATTAAATGTATGGGTGTTACAATTCACTGACATGGTTTTTACTGAATTTGGGCATGTGGATAACTCAGGTTCCTTGGCTGGATTTTGAGGAGAGGAGGGGAGCTGAAGATGGTAACATAATGGACTGTCCTCTACTAATGATCTGAGGACCAATTAAAAAGTAAAATAATTGTCACATGACTTAAAAAGCCAGGTGAGGAAAAGAACACCCATCATGTAAAGATGAGGCATTAAAATAAATCATGCTAGAAAATAATTAGCCATTTGAGATTTGAACTTGCCACCCACTGAAAACAATGGCAAGAATCCCACTGAATTAAATGCCTCGAGCCCTTGCACGGGACTCATTTGATGATATTAATAGAATAACCTATACGCCAAATAATGCTGTTATTTTTCAAGTAAATTATTCATCAGATCAATCACCCTGCCATTTCTTTTTTGGCAGAGCTCCCACTGAAGTCAATCGGAGGATTGTCTGAATTAAAGTCTTTTAGGACTGGGCCCAAGGTTATGCAAAATGCTACTGGGGGCAACTTATTTATCTTCCTTGTGTACATAAACCCACATGCTGGACAATAGTTTGTCAGCCAGGGTACTGTGCCTTATGATGCTAATTGTTCTTTCACCGATGCTGATTATTCACACATCTCTCTTTAATCTACCTGTTGCCCCCTCGATTTGATCCTGTATACGTGTGTATGTAACTTAAAGCTTGGTGGCTGTATAACCCATATTAAGCTGACAGCAAAGTTAACCTGTATTGATGTCCATGGCCATCAGCCCTTTGGGTGTGCTGTCTTGTCCTGTGGTGTCCTGGGCTGGTTTGTTCTTCCAGTTTGGGTTTTTTTAGTCTACAAGTTAAATGTTCTGAATCAAATTGCTTCTTCTTCAAAAAACTGAGAGTTATCTCTTATTGTCTTGATAAAATACAAACAAATCGTTTAAAGGATTTGCACTTCCAGCTATTAAAATACAACTTGGGCAACTTCAGCACTGAGCTCAGCCTCTCATTACTACCTATGGGAATGTATAATGGTTAAATTAGCTGCAGGTGGGCTCCCCCGTTGTTCCAGAAGCACATTAGAAGCATCTTGAAGGTTGCAAGTAACCTTAAAGAAATCGCACATAATGGCTTCAAACAATAGTCATTCTTGTAGCTCCTAACGTGCTCCATATGCCTGAAAGGTACTGTGCAAATGAGGCTCTTTGTGGGAGACCGCTTGGGTTTGGCTTCTCTGGAGTGTTTGTGTGAAATGGAAGATATTCATGGGCGTTGAGGGTAGTTCTGTTCTCAAACATGTGGTAGAGCAGCTGATACCGAAGCTTGCTTAGGGCGGTGAAAAGATCGCAGACCAGCTCTCTGATGGTGACAGTGGCTGCTCTCAAGGTGGTGTCATCCCCAGGAGGGGGCTATGTCCCCCAGACCATATAGGATAGATCTGCCCCTGGCTTTTGTCCAAATGAACAATTTATATCCGCAGATGGTATAGAGAGATATGCATCCTGGTGTAAAGTCTTTGCTGGGACTGCTGGCTGGAGTTAACACTTGTCTAGAGAAGACCCTTCCATGTCATCTGCTAGGAATTTCGGAATGGAAGCAAACCGTGCACCCTGCAGCGCTCAGGAGGTTTATACCTACTGCTCTGACTGCTTCTGTACCTGTTGTTACCAACGACCACAGGCTGCGAGCGCGCCTCTCCCTTGGTGCTGATCTTCCTTCTTTCGGGACTCTTTCCACTGACCTCGGTTCGCTCCCTTGGTCTGCGTGGCCCGCAGGGACCGCACCGCTGCTCTTGGAGAACTTCCGTGTCGGTTGTCCCGCGGGGCCGGGCAGCAGCTTCCCCCGAGGCGTGTCACGGGAGCTGTGCCAGGGCTCTCTCCCCTCTCTCCCTCCTCTCCAGCCGCGATCGGGGGGCGGTGGCGCCCCTCGGACCCTGCGGGGAGGGGAGGGGAGGGGAGCGGGAGGGGAGGAGAGGGCGGGCGGCGGCGCCGCTCCCGCCGAGGAGGAGCGCGGGCGGCGGGCAGGGCAGCGCGCCGCCGCCGGGACCGGCCGGGACCCGGCCCGCGGCCGTGTTGCCGGGCTGCGAGATGGCCGCCGGCGCCGTCCTAGGGCTGTGGCTGCTGCGGCGGCGGGGCTGTGCGGCGGGCGGCCGGCGGGCAGGTCCCCAGCTGCCACGAAGTGCGGACGGCGTTCCAGCTGCGGCAGATCGGGCCCTCAAGCTGGTCCCCGACGTGCCCACGGCCGGTCAGTACCGACACACCTGCGGGGGGCTGCTCCGCGAGCGGAGGGGATGCGGGGGGCTCGGGGCTCTGCCGCTGCCAGCGGCCGGTGCGCCCCCGGTGCCTCCATCCAGCCCGGCTTTGCTGCCGGCGCGGGGAGCGGAGCGCGTTTGGAACGTTGCTTGCTAAAACAACTAAAAGATTTTGTAGGAAGAGCAGACCGGGATGACTCCTGCCGTTTTACACTGTGGAGGTGCTGCTTGTCGGTCTCCACCGTAAGCGCGGTCTGTCTTACCCGCGTGTTTCAGACCTGTGCGGTCCCTTTGCTGAGTACCTGCCGCAGAGGATTCTTCGCGGGAAGGATCTCTGTCGTGGAACGCAAATCGGTAGCCGAGTCTTTAGGGAAGGCTTGTTTTACTGCTCAGATGTGGGGTCCTCGAGCGGGTGGTGAATACTCTCTAAATTCTAATTTGGAAGAGTTATCCTGCAGATGAATTCGGGAGCGCTGTCATAAAGAGAGGCAGGAGTGACACCTTGGAAGGACACAGCCAAAAGAACTTTGGTTTTGCTTAGTTAAGCCGCAAGTCTGCAGCACTTTGGAAAGTTGATGAGCGGAGCGGTGTTCCCTTTTGCCTTTTCACAGCTCCTGAACAAAGCCTGGCAGCACTGAAAGGGGAAAGTAACACACAGATAATAAGAACAGAGTATTTTTTTTTGCATACTCTACAACTACTCTGTAAAATTCATGGCAAGGGGATAAATTGCTTTATAGTATAAAAACGTGATTAAATTCGTGAATGACAATATCTGTCTAGATAATGGAGTTGCATCGCTCACTTTTACGTGTTTTCCAACCTAAACGATTCTCAGTGAGTCTGTTTGAAGAAAATGTTTACAGGAATCGGAATAAGAAAGCAGAAACTATCAATCTCATGACACAGTCTCTAGCTGCCTTATGCCAACAGATGTGTGACAGTATAAGTTTCAGTTTGGGTTGTTGCCTTTTTTTTTTTTTTTTCTTTTTGGTGTGTGTGTGTTTGTTTGTTTGAGCAGTTCAATTCAAAGCCTGCAGAGTTTGTTGAAAAGACTTCTTATCTTAGATGAGTTTTGGATATGTTTTCTGGCATGGGTTTCTGTCCTGGAGATTAAATTTGATAGGCCATTGGGCTGATCTCTTAGGGCTGTGAATGACTGCATAGTGCTGGTGATCTTCACTTTGCATGAAGTAGCTGAGATGACACATAGGTGTAGAGTTATCCTTGGGTAAGGAATCATTTGTCATTTTGTGGCAAGAAGAGATCTGCAGGAATGGCATTTTGAAACTCGGTGCTACTGTTCTGTGCTGATAGAGGCATGAGGTCACGTTTGTCTTGGAGAGCTAAAAAAGAGGAAAAATGAGGCTTTTCATCCATTTCGATGAAAGCTTAACCCTCTCTCCTGAGCTCTTTCTGGAAAAAGTTCCTCAAACTTTAAATTGATTCTTTTACATTTTCTGTGAAACTCTGCTGCTATAGATGAAACTTTGAGAAAATTCTGCATTTGCAGAAGGTCAAGGTGTAGATGCAGTGATACTTCAGAGAATCCTGGAATGATTTGGGATGGAAGGGACCTCGGAGATCACCTAGTTCTAACTCCCTTGCTGTGGAGGGTTCTTTCATTGTTTTCTTGTGTCGTATTGAACTTTCCTGTTGAATAACAAGCTCTTTGAAAATAATCTGCATGAGAGAGGGTAATGTGCTTTTAAATTTTAGCTCATAAAGGTTTCTTTTGAAGAGGAGTGGAGCAGAGCTGCAGAAAAGTGGTGCATATTGATCTTCCCTGTTTCTTGAGTATTACTCAGCTCCACCAAAGCTTTTGTGCTTTAATGATGATAGCTTGCCAGGCAGTTATGTGTCCTGTGCTCTCTTTTAACGAGATACTGAAGTGTTTTCCAGTGTTTTCATCTGGAAGCTATTACTAGTGAATATATCTTAATACAACCTACCCTTCACACGTTTCTCTCTCACACTGAGGCTCGTTTTATTATGAATTTTAGCAATACACAAATGTTGAAGTGTGTCCACTGAAGACCTCAAATGTCAGTTAAAGCAGAAGAGGGAAAGAGTGATGGGCAGGTGGGGGTGACACTGGAGAGCAGCATGTTCCCACTCAGGCCAGACCTTCAGTGCACTGGGGTGCTCCTCAGTCCTCAGTGCCTGCATGTTGGTTTTGAATTATTTTCTCTAAAGAGTGAAACTTTTGCAGTCCTGATTTTTTATGAGATATTTTCAATCACAGGAGCGTTGAAAACCCTTGACTAATCTCAAGGTACTATTTACAGGCTAATACAACAAATCTGACAGAGGTTTAAGTCTTAATGATTACTGAGTTCTTATAACCTTTGGGAGAACTGGCGGCTCAGTTGAGGAGAGAGGCCCAACTCAGTGCTGGGAGAGGGATCAGCATACAGACTGTCAGGTGTATGTTTTCTCTCGTCTCTTATGGGTGGTGCCCATTTCATCTGTAATAAAATTAACTCTAGATACTTGGGAGAGTTTGTAGCCTATACCCTCTTGTGGTGTATTAGTTGTGGTCGCGGTGCTGAAGATGCATGCTGATGGATCTAGGATATGATAATGGATCCTGGATACAAGCCTTATGGGGACTGGTGGACTGGAAGCTGCTTCCCTGTGTTCGCCTGGTCTGCAGCAGGTCTCTGGGATTGCTGAGTGGATGGGAGAGGGGTGTCAGCAGTATGTACAGTGAGATGTGGCTTTGGGCAGGAGCTCCCAGCCTCTTGTATAAAATGTAGTGGCAAGGGAAGGAAGAAGACTCCTGAGGAAAAAGCGCTTTTCTTTTTGAGGTGCAATGTGACTCTTGCAGCAACCTTTCTGGAAATTGTCACCACCTTAGAGGTGTCCAGGAGTCTTTTTTTAAATTTCTCTTCCACAGTTTCCCCCCAAAGACATGAGATTTTTGTGCTTTGGATTCTAGTCTGTTATTGAGGGCAGGGTTAAGGAAGAAGTGTTTGGACATGGGATGGATAAGAGGCCCAAGCAGGTATTTTTGAGCAGCAGATCTTCTTGGTCTGTCTCTAACACTTCCTCCTGTACTAGAGGAGTCAGTGCTCTTGTCTGGTACCCCACTTTTCTGGAACAACAGGAATGCTTCAAGGGTAATTTGCTGCAAGTAATAACAGACAGGTTGGTCAGGTAAGGCTACTACTGCCTTGGCTGTGATCCACAGGAAAGGATTTTTTTGTGTCTTCCCCCAGACTGGAAAATGAGGTAATGTGTTTCTGGACTTGTACTTTGATTATCACAGACTGAGCCGGGATGTTTTTGTAGGAGCTCCTTGGTTAGCAGTTTGATGAGAGAGAATTCTATGCTGTCTCCAAGGGTGAACGGCTGTGTTAATCCTGCCAAGGGCCTAAGCCTTTGGTTCCAGGGAGTCTGGATACCTCAGACTTGATGTGTGCTGCTACGTGTGGTATCGCTCCCAGACACGGGGCCGCCTCAGCGATGCCCTGTGAGCCCTGGGTTGTGTTACAGCATTCCCTGCACGCTGGCATGGGCTCCCTGTGAAGTTCCGGTTATTCAGAGGCTGCTCTGTGGCATGGAGCACGGTGGTGCCTGCCTGGCACTGCTTTCCAAGTTCTCAGGAGGAAAACTGAATGAACCCAACTGGAGTCTGTGACTTGTCTGCATTCAGGCAGTGAATTGGAGCAGAACCAGAATAAAAGTCCTCTTGTGATTCCTTTGGTAACCGTGTGACCACGAGAACATCCTACCCATTTATATATGCTCAGTTCTCTCTCTGACTGATTGACTAGTGTATGAGCATGCAAAAAAACCCAAGTCTGTAAATGTATGATAAGAGAGAAGAATTGGGCTGATTTCTGGGAAGCAGAGAAAATATTTGTCACTTGCGAAAGAATTCTAGGAACTCTTTACCTTCTAAATAATCATCTTGTGGAGAACTACCAAAGGGATGATTAGCTTTATCTTGCTGCTCTGCTGCTTTACAAAGAGCACAGATTCCCAGGTTGTGTGCAGGGATGCACTTCTGAAGGGGAGATTTTGTCCTGTTAAAAGCTGCTTTATTATCCTCTGTCATCCTGCACCTTAAATCAGCAGGAGTGTTCATTACCACATGTGTGTGCTGAACATCCCGTGGCAGAGCTGGACATGCATTAACAATTTATACATTAAAACTGTTTTACTTTCTGCGTAGTGACAGGAAAGTCCAAGATTCCTACCAGAAGCTCCTTGATGCATGTGGTACATGTGTTAGACTGGATCTCATTTCATCTCAGCCTGTGGCAAAGCTCCCCATCTATGTTGAGAAAGGAGCATGCCACACGTTATTTTGTTGTTTTTCTCTTAACACTCAGCTTTTTATTTCTATCTTGTTGATGAGAACTCTGTAGGTCCCCTGCTAAAGGTGCGGTAATGAAACGCATTTTGCTCCCAGCAGCATTCTGTCAAAAGCCACTGCTGAGTCTGGTGTGCGCCAGATGTGACATGTACTGGCTTTATTGGCTCTGGGAGGTCTTTGCCCCATCAGAGTGAGATGCTAAAATCCTGTTGTGTGAACTGCAGTTCATACTTGTGTGTCCTGTTCACCTACCGTATGTGGCTGTGTGGGACTACCTTCAGTAGGGTGGATGAAAGGTGCATCTGGGAGCAAAGATTGCTGGGTGAGCACAGGTGTGTTAATGCTTAGAAACTGCGTAGGGTGCTTAAGATTTTTAAAAAAGGCACAAAAAATAATCTTGTTTCTATGAGGTTTCTGTTTCTTTTAGGCAATCTTGAGTGTAATACAAGTTTGAAATGTCCTTGGCGTTACTTAGTATTTATTTATTTATGAACACACAGGCTTCTTGTTGGTTTACAGCACAGACTACCTGTTGGAGGGATGGACTGGTCCAGTGTAAGATGGATTCTATTCCCATCTTTGTCACTCTCTGCATAGCCAAGGCCAGTTGTGCCTCAGTTTCCCTGTCTACAGGCTGTATCATGGTGTGTTAGTGTGAGCTCTTTCATT